TGCGACCTTGAAGGGAGTGTCAAACGAGTCCTGGGATGACTCGTCCGAATCGGACGCGTGGGGACGACCAATACCAATGGGCAGAGATCGGGAGAAGAGTGGGTTCCCAGGTACAGGTGTCGGGGGAAGCACACAAGGTGGAGCGTTCCAGGCTGGAGCTCGTGGCGGGGCCATGGGTGTATCATTGCTGACGCTTGACTTGGCTGTAGATGGCGTATGTGCGTAGGAGAGTGGGTGTGGTTGGGAGGCTCCAAAACTGGTGCGAGGCTGGGGAGGGCCCATGCGACCAGCGTCAAAAGTCGACTTGCGAAACGGCGTAGAGGCTTGTGGGGTTGTTGTACCTGCATGCGAGCCGATGGAGCCATCTAAAGACATGCGGTTTCGCGTCTTGGATGCGGCGGGGCCAGGTAGCACAAACTCGCCGTCATACGTAGGCTTTGCGCGGGGCGTGTTTGTGCGCTGTGACAAGGTCGACTTGCGTAACGATGGGTTGCGGCGTATTGGGGAAACGGTGTTTGACACGGGAGAGCTGAAGGAGAAGGCCGCGTTGAAGTCGGGACCCTGACGCGACGAATCCTCCGTGACCTCGCGCGAGGCCGGAGTTGGGTCGAAGATGCTCTCAAAGTCGTTGCCTAGGCTGGCCACGCTGTGCAGACTCCTGCGCTTCGCCATTGGGCTGCTGCCTGAGCTGCCACCCAGATTCATGAAGCCGTCGTTGCGCTTGAGCGGGCTCGATTTGGCGGGGGCCGCAGGCGACAATTCGGGACGGCGCGCAAACTCAAACTTAATGGGCTTGTCGTTGACTCCGAGTCGCTTGTCCATGTCCATGGTGTCGGGAGAGTCTGCACTGAGCCGACGTACAGGCGCGGTCGCAGGCGCGTTTTCCTGGCCGACGGCTGGCCGCGGCATGAAGGGCGTAGAAGTGCCCGAGTTGCCAATGTCGGTAGACTCGCCCAGGGCACGGCGGCGCGGGCTCTTGGAGTTGCTGTTGCGCGTGCGCGGGGAGGAGCGGAAAGGCTGTTGGGAGCGGCGCAGCGAGAACTTCTTCTTCGCCGGCGCAGTCGAGGCGCCAAGCGGCGACTCTGGGTAGGCGGCCGTGGGCGACGTGGGTTTGCGCTGCTGTGGGCTGAAGGCGCGCGCAAGAGCCAGTGGTGAGATGGGCGAACGAGGCGAGTCGGCGTTGCGCAACTGAAAGCGCGACGGCTTCGAAGGCGAGCGAGAGAGCGAGCGGCGCAGCTGCTGGAGATGGGAGAAGTGGTTGCCGTCCAGACGGTAGCTGTGGGGGTGTGTGGGAGAGGGGAAGTGCAGTGTTCCGCACTCGCGAACAGGGGAGAAGCCGTAGTCCATGGCGGCGTCGGTGAAAGTGAATGTGAGATGACGGTGGCTGGGGCCGTCTTCTTGGTCAGACTGCACGGGCGCGAGGGTGTC